GCATCCCAGCAGCTCCTGCATTGAGTGTCTGCCCCCTGGTGGTCAGTGTGCATCATAGCAAGAGATCAAACTCCCCATTGGTCAAACTCCTGAGGGGACACTTTGCATATTAGGCTTTTATATAGAGAGATTCTTGAAATGACAAAGTTATAAAATGGAGAACAGATAATTAGTTGCCAAAGATTAGGGAAAAAGAGGGAGGATAAAACTATAAAGACATGTCATAAGGGACTTTCTTAGTGGTGATAGTATTTTGATTATAATGATGGTTATATGAATCTATACATGTGATAACATGTCATAAAGGTATATCTAAAACATACAAAAAAGTGAGTATGTAAAAATGCTGAAATTGGAGTAAGGTGTGTAGTCCAATTAATTGTATTTTGCCAACCAATTACGTGGTTTTGATAATGTACTATGGTTATATAAAATATCACCATTGGGGGAACTGGCTAATGGGTGCACCTCTTTATACTGTTTTTGCAACTTCTTAGGAGTCGTAAATTATTTCAAAATAAAAAGTTAAAGAGAGCCCTGGCTGGGTAGCTCAGTTGGTTGGAACGTTGTCTTTATATGTCAAGGTTACAGATTCAATACCAGTTAAGGCACAAGAATCAACCAATGAATGCATAAATAAGTGGAACAACAAGTTGATGTTTCTCTCTTTTTTTTTCTCTCTCTCTCTCTCCTTTCCCCTCTCTGTCTAAAATCAATCAGTAAAAAAAATTTTTTTAAGGGTGTTAGAGTAAGAACAAGTAGAGCATGATAGAGGGAGGGAGGGGAAGAGAAAGAAAAAAATGAAGGCTTCCAGACAAGAAGCGGAATAAAAAGGACTTATTTACCCTTCTACCTAAAACACCACCACAATTTTCTAAATAGACATAATACATAAAAAACAGTTTCCAAAACACTAGATATTAGTAAATGAAATGGAGTAATCACTGAGAGAAAGGAAACAAAATAAGCCCCTCCTAACTGCCTCGAGAATCTCCAGGCTATGGTGAGTACAGAGGGAAAATGCATCTATTATGGAACCCAGCAGACTCCCTGGGTTGAGAAGAGTCCACAGAGACTAAGGAAGCTATAGTTCATAGGACAGAATACCAGAGGGAATAGAGCCTGGTGCTTACACAGGTCCAGGAATAATGCCTGCTCTACTTGCCAGACTGGGGAAAATTATAACTCGTGGAGCATTAGGGAGAGGACTAAGTAGTTGGAAACAATTAACCCTAGACTGAGCACCCCTCCTCTGCCTAACAAATTATAAAAGCTAGAGATGAAAGGCTTAAACTATTACCAAGTAACTTAACTGCATCCTTGAACAAAGCTAAAGATTTACAGGAATACAAAAATATTCAGCGCCCAACAAAATAAAATTCACAATATCTGGCATCCAATCAAAGGTTATCAGACACGCAGAGGCAAGAAAACATGACCCATAATGAAGAGAATATCAATTGAAACCCACCCAGAACAGACACAGATGTTAGCATTAGTGGAGAAGGAAAATAAAAGTTATAGCTGTATTCCACATGTTGGAATAAAGACATGGAAAATATTTTTTTAAAAAAACCCGAAATTGAATTTCTAGAAATAGAACTGAAAACTATAATGTCTGAAATGAAAAATTCAGCAGCTGGGATTAGGCATAGAAGATTTGAGGAAGAAAAAGTCTCTCCAAGAATATTTCTTGGGCAAAATTGGTTAATTGTATACTTGCTCAAAACCTAGAGTATGATTATCTTTGTTCTGATTTCAAGTAGTTGAGAGAAAAATACAATGATAGGCACCATTAAAACTAGCTAAAAAATATTTTGCCAGTAAATATTTGTTGTCAAGATAACTTGGTTTGCATTTCTGTCGAGAGAACTGTAAACAGTTAAACCATGTTGACAACATTTAAGATATTGGTTATGGAACTGTGTGTGGTATTAGAGGTTTTGTTTGTGAAATACATGCATTAAAATAATTAAATTTCAGCATAATTATTTTCATGTTTATAATTATGATTTATTTTCCTAGCCAGCTGGTAAGCTTTTTGAGGCTACTAACATGTCTTTTTACATCTTTTGACCCTCCCTGAAATACTTAGCATGGGGCTTCCCATTGTGGGTGGTCAGTAGAGTTTACACTGTAAAAGAGGGAATCCTCCAACTGTGATGCACTGAAGTTTATTCTGGGGCTAATAAGGCAGCACCAGAATATTATCCCTCTGAACCAAAAATATGTAAATAAACAAAGCCTGTTATAGGGTTTGGGGAAGAGGGTGCAAAAACTCATCTCAGTCAAGAAGCTTTTCAAGCTTATTTTAAACCAGAGAACTAAATTATGCAAATGATTCCTTAGAGCCCTATCTTTAGCCACAGCCAGTGCTGATTAGGTCAGGCACATTTAGGGTTCATGGCTAACGCTTCTTGACTAGGCATTTGAGGAAATAAATAAATTTGGAGATTTATATATTTGGGTGGATTTGGACAGAGCAAATTTAGAGTGCAAATGCTAGAGTTTAAAAATGTCCTAAGGAGAAACTTTTCTCCCCATTTAATGGAAGCCAAACCACGTGGGGATAGGATGGGCATTTCCCATTTCTTGGTCAAATAAACATTGTCTGATTTTCATTGGCAAAGGCATTTAAATAAGGAGCAAGGTTTTTGCAACTCCAAGTTCCAATATGTGTTACAAGATTTTTTAAGGAAAGTATTTATAAACTTTACAAATTAGAGTAGAGTCTCCACAGGTTCAGGTCAAAGTATGAAGGGCTTTTAGTAAATTACTTTTTGGCAAGATAGAGCTATTTTAAGGAACCTACGTGTAATTTTGTAAACTACCTTATTTTTTTTAGTATTGTCTCTAAGCTAAAATTGCTTTTGTGTTCATTTTGTTGGTATCAGCAGCACCATGTGTGGCTTCTGCTGCTGCAGAAGGAAATAGGCAGATTGGCTTCTCTCTCCATAAGCAAGAAAATGCATTATTAGGAAGGTGACAAATAATATATAAGGAAAAAAATTGTAGATATTTGGGAAAACCTTACTATTTTTTATACTTTGCCTATTGATGCTAAATAGTGTAAAAAAATAATAAAGTTTGAGAACCTATGTTCAAGATTTTCTGTTCTTCCCTCTGTTTATTTGAATCACTAGGAAAAAGAAATTCTGTATTATAGAAAGACTACTGGGTGCAGGTACCTCAAAATCCTGACCTACTGAATGCAGCATAGGCATAAAAAGAACAAATTCAGAGCTGAACCCCTTAATGATGAAGTTAGGGGGGAAAGAGAAGCTTCTAACACAAGGATTTACTAATGGGAATCATAATGGTATTGAAAATATAGCAAGAGAAGTAGAAGGAAAAACTCCAGAGCAGTGGTTCTCAACCTTCCTAATGCCGCGACCCTTTAATACAGTTCCTCATGTTGTGGTGACCCCAACCATAAAATTACTTTCATTGCTACTTCATAACTGTAATTTTGCTACTGTTATGAATCGTAATGTAAATATCTGATATGCAGGATGTATTTTCATTGTTACAAATTGAACATAATTAAAGCATAGTGATTAATCACAAAAACAATATGTAATTATATATGTGTTTTCCGATGGTCTTAGGCGACCCCTGTGAAAGGGTAGTTCAACCCCCAAAGGGGTCTCGATATTTGGGAAAACATGTTGAGAACCGCTGCTCTAGAGGAAGTCATTGAATACTCAGCTGTGTTCTGGGACAGATACAGTGACCTCTAAGACATAAATAAGATTATGGCTCAGATTAAATGGGAGATGCAATAATTCAGAGAAGAATTTGTATCAAAGAAGCACTTAACACAAAGATTGGATGGTACAAGTCACCTTTTCATCAGCTGAGAACATTATATGGTACCACCAAAGGAAAAAAAATTATACTAAAGAAAAGGATTGCCTGATTTGTGTGCTTGGATTTAACAAGGAACATTTATGTGATGAATTGAAATAGTATATTTACAGCTCCTCAGTTCAAATTTGACTGGGTTCTTAAGGACAGAATTGCAATGGAGTGCCAGAGGTGGTGTAACAACTTAATTACCTTGATGGTGAGAAAAAATCATAGAACTAGAAGAATTGAGATGGGAAGTGAACCAGTGAGCTAGCTCTATGAATGCCACAGCCTATTACCTTGAGAGAATTTCCAGGCTGCAGGGCACAGAGGGGTAAGAGGCAGAGCCAACAGACTCCCCAGAGGAGGGGACTGAACTGAGCATCTAGGGCAAGAATGTCAAATTCAAAGGCTAACACGGGCCAAATAAACGACTAGGGAGACCAGGGCTGCTGGAGTTCATAGGAGAGTTCCAGAGAGTAGGCAGCTGTAAAGGGTGCCCATGAGCGTTCAGCAAAGTACTGATCACCCTGTGTGTGAGGAAACTACCTAACACTTCCTACAGTGGGAATGAACTTCAAAATAATTATGCTGAGTGAAAGAACCCAGATTTGAATAAAGTGTGCATACTGTAGGATTCCATTTATTACAATTTTTTAAAAAATGAACTAATCTGTTGTGATTGCTGCAGGATGGGGGTAGAGGGGTCTGGAGGTAACAGACAGGGAGGCACAGGAGGGAAAGATTACAAAGGGGCACAAGGAAACTTGTAGGTGTGATAAATATGTTCATTACCTTGATTAAAGAAATGGTCTCACGGGTTTTTTTACATGTTCTAAAACTTAATACATTGCATACTTTATATACATGTCATTTATTTGGTCAGTTGTGCTCATGTAAAGCTCTTTTTTAAACTTGCGTGCAAAAAAATACAAATAAAAAACAGTAGCTTCCCTTTTAGAGTTGTTCTGAGAAAATGAAAGGAGGGATCAAGCCCAGGTAACCTTTGTAACTCTTTCCCAACTCTATCGCAACTAAGATTTTTTGTTGTTCCAAAGCATTTTTGGTTTTAAAGATATATTGTTAGGATCTATGTAGTCAAATATTGCTATTGTCACTCAAGATATAACTTCATGCATTTTGTGTTTCAGGGCTCATGAATCAAGGAAGCAAACTTGAAAAATGGATTAAGGCTGATGCCCCAAAAGGCACTGTAAGTTTTAGAAATCAAAGCTGGTTTCAGTCCCTGAAACTGCAGGACTGAATGGTTGGAGCCCGGCTGGTGTGGTTCAGTGGTTGAGCGTCGGCCTATGAACCAGGAGGTCACAGTTTGATTCCTGGTCAGGACACATGTACAGGTTTTGGGCTCGATCCCCATTAGAGGGCGTGCAGGAGGCAGCCAATCAATGATTCCCTCTCATCGTTGATGTTTCTATCTCTCCCTCCCCCTCTCTTTTTTAAAAAAGGAATGATTTGAGTTGTATTTATAATTTTAATAATTAGTAGACCCATGGCTACAAAAATGCAAATACCACTGTTCATATATAAATACTGAAAATAACAAATTGGATGAGTATTGGTGAATTGTGGTTTTTTTGGGGGGAGGGGGAAATGTCAAAATTTGTACTTACCTATTGTTTAGTTTCCTTATTGCTCTGTAACATATTGCTACAAACTTATCAACTTAAAATAACACTCATTTAACAGCTCACAGTTCTGTAGGTCAAGAGCAGGGGGGGGCAAACTTTTTGACTCGAGGGCCACAATGGGTTCTTAAACTGGACCGGAGGGCTGGAACAAAAGCATGGATGGAGTGTTTGTGTGAACTAATATAAATTCAAAGTAAACATCATTACATAAAAGGGTACGGTTTTTTTTTTTTTTGTTTGTTTTGTTTTTTTTAGTTTTATTCATTTCAAACGGGCCAGCCCGCGGGCCGTAGTTTGCCCACGGCTGGTCAAGAGCCTGGCTAGATTCTCCATTCAGGATACCCATCAGGCTGAACTCAAGATGTTGGCTGGACTGAGTTCTCATCTGGCTGCTCTGGTAAAATAAAATAAATCTTCCAAGCTCATTCTTATTGGTGGTAAAATCTTGTTCCTTGTGACTGTATGAGGTCTCCATTTTCTTGCTGTTGGCATTTGCTCTAAGCTTCTAGAGACTAACTATATCCCTTCTCATATGGCCCTGATCATCTTCTAGGCAGCAATGATGCATTCAGTCTTTCTAATACTTCTGACCTGTTCCGCAGCCACGTGGAGAGAACTCTGCTATTAAAGGGCCCACTTGATTAGGTCAGGCCTACCCAGGATAATCTTTGTTTTGTCATATAACATAATTATGGGAGTGATGTCTCACATATTCACAGTTTCCACTCATACTCAAGAAATTATACAAAGACATAGGTAATAGGGGGAGGGGGATAGGGAGTTATTTTAGAATTTTTTGTACCATAGGTCTTATGTAATGTTTTCTACTTGTATTTATTATGACATCAAAGTAAATTTAAGTTGTGAATAAAACACATCATAAATATTAATTGTTACTGATTTTTCATTTATTTTGCATAATTTAAGACATACCTTGTTAGTGGGAGAGAAACATTCAGCTATTTTGTAGCCTGATGTTTGAAGATAGATTTTCACTTTTATAATGATGTGTTATATAAAGTTATGAATTCTCGTTCTTTCAAACCTTATTTGTCTACTCCTAGAGCATTTAAATTAACACTGAAAGACTACCTAGTAGATTAGATTTTTTATGATTAGGATACATCAGTTCTTAAACACTAATTTCTGATATACCTTTCCAAATAGTGTGATTTATAATAGTCTCTTTTTGTTAATATTTCACTTATTTACAGTTGTCTGTTTTTAACTTGTGAAACAAAAAGTCAGCTTTGTGTAATATCTCCAAGTTTCCTTTTAGTTTACCCTTTGTGAAATCAAAATTAGTATAAGTTTGGATGATAAAATTAGTATATTTGATGTGGTTGTGGGGTGTGTGTGTGTGTGTGTGTGTGTGTGTAATAAGTAGAGGAAACTGAGAGGCAATGAGACAGTTTTTATCCTTTTTCACTCTCATGCATTTATATAAACATTTTCATGACTAAAAATAAAGTTTATGAACTTAGTCAACAATTGCCAAAAAGGTCATGAGCATAACATTAGTCAACTGTATTTAAAATTATTAAAAGGATTATATATAATTTGGATCACATAATCAAGTCTAAACAGAAAGGGAAAGCTTCCATATTTTGTTCTCTTGAACACAGACTGATTTATATAAATGCTTAAGAGCTGAGACCTAAGAAATAATTTGGATACCCTGCGGACCTTGCACTGAGAACTTGAAGATTTCACCCCCTCTTCACTCTACTTCTTGATCCCCTTTTCATAATCTACTTTTTCTAACACACCTTTTCTTTCATTTCTGTGTCTATAAAATTTGTCTCCCCATGAAGAACAAATGTATCTCCTATTCTTTTTCTTTTATTGATTTTTTTTTTAAGAGAAAGGGGAAGGGAGAGGGAGAAAGGGAAACATATTAGAGCAGAATATGGATTTGCTGCCTGCTGCACATCCCCTACTGGGGATCAAGCCAGCAACCCGGGCATATGCCTTACCAGGAATCAAACCAGCAACCCTTCGGTTCATGGGAGGACACCCAGTCAACTGAGCCACATGGCCAGGACTCTGTTGCTGTTATTTAAAAGAGAATCTTAGAGAGTTTTGGAGTTAAACACCCTGCTTGGTTACTAGAGAACATAATAGGGTGTGTCGATCCTTACTCTGGTCTTCCCCAGGCAGGTGTTACTGCTGAAGAAAGCAGCAATAGGTCTCTCCAGTTGTGTGCTTGAAACATTTAGAGGTCAGAAGCCAACTTTTTAATTTTTTTTTTAACTGAGAGAGAGAAAAAACTGATTTGTTGTTTCACTTATGCATTCATTCGTTGTCCCTTGTATGTGCCCTAAACGGGGACCGAACCCACAACCGTGGGGTATCAGTACAATGCTTTCATCAGTTGAGCTACCCAGCCAGGGCAGAAGCCAGCTATTATGTAGCTGCCAGAAATCTCCAAATGTAGTTTAAAAATCACCATCAGAACAATCATCTTAAATCTTTTGGCTCGGGTTTTAAAACTTCCTATTCAGCTGATTCCCCTGCTGAATAGGAACCATTAAGGAACCATTTCTACAGCTAAGTGATACTACTTAATTTCAAAAACTCTTTCAAAATCAAACTAAAGGGAGAATTATTAAAACTATTTAGCTAATATAGATTACCCTATAATAATACCAGTTGAGCCCTTTTAAAAATTTTTCAAAATAACTTTCATATCCTTTTCCTTAAATGTTATCCTTCAAATTTGTGGGATACAAAAGGGTAGTGATGAACCCCATTTAACAGATAAGTAACAGAGGAAATAGGGTTAAATACTGGTCTAACATTACTGACACAACTTCTTTGGGGCGAGCAGAACAGTGTGCTCTCACTTGGACTCTGAATATCAGTCTTCATGACATTAAATAATGTTACAAATAACCTATATCTCTTAGCATAAAATTGGGAGAGCACCCTTTTTGGGATAGCATAGTTTTAAAATATCCCTATTGTGCAAATCTGATTAAAAAGATTTATCTGAGACATTGCAGGGACACTCTATTCACAGATAGTTCTTGCTTCAATTTAATTTGCTCCTAGCAGTTAAGTCAGATGTTGAGATGAGTCGGTCAATTGGCATTTAGTTCTGTCTTGTTGTTAAGTATCTGGAAACCATAAGAAAACCTTGTTTCCTCTAAAAATTTATGTTGCCCAGCTGGCGTGGCTCAGTGGTTGAGCCTCAAACTATGACCCAGGAGGTGTCATGGTTTGGTTCCTGGTCAGGGCACATACCCGGGTTGCAGGCTCGATCCCCAGTGTGGGGTGTGCGGGAGGCAGCAGATCAATGATTCTCATCATTGATGTTTCTTTCTTCTCTGAAATAAATAAAAAAGTATTTTTTTTAAAAATGTATGTTTATGTTTTTTACAATAAAGCTTCACAGATCCTTAAAGTCATTTGCCCTGGCTCCATCTCTTTGATTTATAAGGCCACCTCTGCTTTTCTAAAGAAAAGCTTCTAAATTTCTTGTCAAAAAATATTACAAGTCTCAGTGTTGTTTCATATAACTGTAACCTCAGATTTAATAATCTCATCAAACTATTGGTTTGATTAAGGTAAATTTACATGGAAAATTTATATAGTAGCAATACTTGATTTGACTTTTTAAAAATCATGATTATCAGACAGAAGATTTAATGATGTATTTAAAAACATTTGTAGTTGGAATAAGAATCAGGAGATGATTTGCTGCTGTTTATACCATTGAGATCCAGCTAATAAAAATATTTGCATCAAATGAAGTCACCAAATTCTAGATTTTTTTGTTCTTCTGTTTGAGTTGAAGGTTATACTACTTCCTCTTCACTATTGTATGTTGACTCTTTCACTGTCAGTTCTCTATCTTTAAGTGGTGTTATCTCCCGCCGCCGCTGCTGTCTGTTACATGCTTGCCTTTATCATCATAGCTAGACCAAGCTGGAGTTCCAGTAGGGTTGTATTCCATTTGAACTATAGATGACATTTTCATAGCTGCCTCCCTGCAATAACAGTGATTAGCATTAGCTAGTTGGCAGAAATCATCGCCGGTGTAGATTTTTCAAACTAAATCAAAGTTGGAGTTAAAAAACTCACCATCAAGAGTTGAATTCACGTTCCACAGCTTTCTTGCCTTCCTGAGGGGGAGGGGGTGGGTAATTGTGCTAATAATCAGGATTCCAAAGCTTAAGTAGCTCAGTGGCACTCTAGGTTAGCCAGTTCAGAGATTAACAGGCACAGTGAATGAGTCGCGAAATTGCATGGCCATGGACTAGGAATACTGAGAGCACTCTATAGTGCTCTTGAGTGAGCACTCTGCCTGCCATTTCCAGTCTTAGATGAGGCAGAACCCTTTGCAGTCAATCTGTGAAGGCTAACCAGGCACCCGAACAGGAACTCCTAACCCAAAGTCTGCAGATCTCTGTTGGATACATGGATGAGTTTCAGGGAGGTCCATGAACTCTTGGAAAATTTATGCAGTTTCTATCTTAATATGCCTTTATTTTCTGAGGAGAGGGTTTGTGACTTTCCTCAAATTCTCAAAGGTGTCTGTGACCAAAATGATTAAAAATACTAGTACTGTCTTTCTTAGGAGGCAGAAAGGAAGGAAGCAAAGAGGGCATGTAAAAATTGTTCTGGACTCCCAATTTCAACATGAGGGTGTATGTGTTGTTGGGGGGTTCCCCCATACTACCAAGCAATTATTGGATACCAACCAAGGTGTCCTGCAGTTCAACTCAATTATGATACCATCTACCCAGAGTTAGCATCAGATTCCACAGGTTAAGGGCTCAGTCCCACAAGACCACCCTTTACTTCAGATAGTAATTGCAAGTCCAGGTTGTCACCTGGGCTTCCGACCAACTGGCTATATAGAGCAAAGGTTCCAGTGACCTCATTGGGTTGGATTGATTTGCCATAGCTACTCACAGAACTCAGAGATACTTTATTTACCCAATCACCAGTTTATTATAGAGGATGTAACTCAGGAACAGCCAAATGTAAGAGATGCATAGGGCAAGGTATGGGGAAAGGCTGCAGAGTACCCATGCCTTCTTCAGTCATGCCCCTCTCCCCAAATCTCCATGCATTCACCAACCCAGAAGCTCTCTGAACTCTGTCTTTTGGGGTTTTTATGGAGACTTCCATGATGTAGCAGTGATTTATTA